TCTTTTTATTGAAATAAATAAATAAAAAATACATATGAAATTGGTGAAATTGGTCCTGTTCTGACTGCGCCAGGCGTAGATTCTATGCCAGGCTCTTTACTTTGGGGCACGTCAGTTCATTTGACCTGATAGACCTAGGTTAAATACTTCTGCTGTGCTGGAATACAACTCTAGGGGACAGGGAAGCAGGCTTTGTCAGGTTTTGATTCTCAAGCCCACTGTCACTTTAGCGCGTAGGAAGCTACCCATGCGAGAACGAGCCCTGCCACACTCTTTAAAGTGACTGATGCCACCGCCTGCCCCCTCCCCATTTAGAAGGAAACCTGAGATTTAGAGAGGAGCTGTGACCCACTTCCACAGAAGACATTTCTGTTATGTAAATGGCAGATGAGCCGCCAAAGCACATTCTAGAGCACTGTCCTGTTTGGTTCTCACCAAGCGTCCTGTGAAGTTTCATCTGCTTTAATGTCAAGGCTGAATCTAAGGAGGAAAAATAAAACAGTTCCTTTCATTTCAAGGGCAAGAATAATAAACTAGAGTATTGGGGGGCAGGGGATAGGGACTGCAGTCTGAAGCCAAACGGTAAAGTCGAGTCTCAGGTTTCTCCTCCCATCAGGCGCTGAGGGTCCTTCCACTCAGGTCAAACAGGCTTTTCTGAGTTACCATCAGTTAGCACCCCGTAAACATCACGGTCACCCGGTCTGGGCCCCTCCCGTTAAAACATGCCAGAGCTCACAAGCCAGCTTGTAAAAGGCCTGGGGGCGGGGGATGTGCCCAGTCACCAGGCAGCCTTAGACAATAGGGAAACGTGTTCAGATGATTGGACCAAACTCTGCATGCAAAGAAAAAGATGCAGGGTCATCCCAGGAACTCTGCCCGGAAGATCCCATTTCTTCTCATGCACACCCAGGATTGGACTCGGGCAGAACAAAGAAAAACAGAACAGTGGGGCCAGAAGTGGGCAGGAGAGGTCTGCTGGATCTTCGAGGAAGGGTTCTCCTAGGTATCCATCTTGCTTTTTCTGAGTCTCCATTTAAAGAACTGTCTGCTTTGCCAGACTGCATGATTCCAAGGATGCCTGCAAGACTTTGTCAAGCATCTGCGGACTCCATAGCTCTCCGAAGCCATGTCTCTAAAAAGGACAGTAACGAGGTGTTCTCATAACATTGCTGTAAGAATTAGTGAGAAACCGAACGCGAAATGTGCACCGAGAGGTGTAAAACCTGATAGAAGCGTTAAATCAGAAATATCTTTCCCCCGCATTACCTCATTTGATCTAATATCAGGCCTGTGAGGGTAGCGAAGTGAAAGTTATCAGCCCTACTTTACAGAGATGCAAAGTGAGGCTTAATGGGTTGTGTAATACAGTGCATTTTATGTGGTCCGTAAGTGACAAAGCCATGGATAAGTCCCAGGTCTGCCTCCTCCTCGGAGCCATGGCTTTAACCCGTGGTAGCTAAACCAAAAGGTATTAATAATGGCTGTGTATAAGTACGTACGCTATATGCATATATTAATGATTTGCAACGTTTATGTATTTAGAATTTATATATATATTTATAATTTATATATATTTAGAATGCATACATTGACTATTTAGAATCAGTGTGTGTCTCTTGCGGACTGTGCTGTCTTAGGACAGAGGCTGAATCTTACTGGGCTGTGCGTTTTCAGCACTAGACATAGCTCAGGCTCAGGGCTCACTAGACGTCAATCAGCAGGAGCTCCCTGACACCTAGATCACCTCTGCAGTGTGGCTCTCCACATTCCCGTTACACAGAGGGAAGAAAGGATGCTCAGAGCAGCTGAGCAGCTCCCCGGCCTGGCAGTCAGCACTGCCTGGTTACTAAGTCTGAGGTGAAGCCCACGGTCTGTGTCCATAACTCCTGCTTCTCGAGTTTCGATCAACTGTAGACCAGAGACAAGAACTTCATCTATACTGAATATAGATTTTTTTTCTTGCAACTGTTCCCTAAAGAGTATAGCAAACAACTATAAACGCAGTTGTTTGGCCATGACTACTCAGTCTAGTGATGATTTAAAGTATGGAGGAGGTTATATGTCCATTAAATGCAAGTACCATGCTCTTTTATATAAGGAACTTGCACACCTATAGATTTCTGTATTCAAGAGGTTAGTGGTTGGGGGACCAATCTTCTTTGATACCAAGGAATGAGGGATGACCTCGCCTGTTAGCTAAGGCCAGGAGGCAAGTGCAGGGCAAAGCCTAGCTCTCTGCCCTTGGCCCTTCTGCCTCCCTGTGCCCTGCTGCCTCACACCCCACAGCTTTGGCTGCCAGTCTCCTGGTTCACACCTCCGTGGACAGAAGCGCTGTTTGCTGTTGGCTTCACACCATCAATTGCCACTTGGAAAAAGTGCTGGGCAAACCCAAACAAATGCTGGGTTATTCTTCTCTCCCAGGGTGTTCAGCCAGCCCCCAGAGTCACCAGGAGGTCACTGCCCTTTAAGTGTGTATAAACAGATAGAAGTGTCAGAGATGTGACCCACAGGGGTCTGAGGCCTAAAACCTGTTGCTCTTTGTCTTTGGGCAAGCCCGAGATGTTGTCTGAGGGGGGTGTCACTCTGAAGTGCCTGCTGGATGCGGGGCACCAAGTGCCACGGTTCCATCTTCAGACTCCAGAGATGCAGACAGACAGGCTTGCTGGACATTGAGCTAGGCTGAGTGGCATGTACGGGAATACTCCACCCTCGGGCAACAGTCACGTGGGCATCTCGATCTGTTTATTATTTAACAAGTATCAGTTCAGGAACAGAGGTGACCAGAGGGTGGAGCCCAACCCCGGGGGCTGCTGAAGATCTGACTGTAACACAGAGAAGCACCCCAGAGTGTAGTCTGGGGTGGGGAGAAGCAGGTGGCTAGCCACAGGTGAGAAGAGAAGCCAAGACCTTGAGCCAAGCCTTATGCTGTGGTTGTATTGTGTAATATGGAGGATGCTGTAGCATAGACTATGTCTTGGAGCCCAGCGGGTCTTTAGACATCCTTTGGTCCCCCCAGAAGTAGGTGAGGAAGTTGATACCAAGAGACAGGAACGAAGTGGCACCCAAGTCCCGAGCCCAGTGCCTAAGCAGGCAAGGATCTCACAAGCCTCTCTGAATGCCCAGTGGGAAGTGAGCTGCCCTGACCTCCACCTTGAGTTCCTCGACCCTCTGTGTTCTGCCCTGGGCACTCACTAGGGTCTGGAGAAGAGCAGAAGGCTGTTTGTTTGTTTGTTTGTTTGTTTGTTTGTTTGTAGCAAGGCTTCACTGCACACTCCTTCCAAACCAAAAGCTGTGACTCGGTGGACCCAAAGGACCTTCTTACATATCCTACAGCTCAGAAGCTCCTGGTGCCTGGCTCCATGTCACAACTGCTTCTGCCCCTCTTCAGCAGCTCCCCAGGCCCTGGACAGCTGAGAGATGCCATGTATACTGCATCCAGCCCCAGCCTCTGTTCTGAGGCGGCAGCTTGGCAAGATAGCTGTGTAGAAACACAACGTACATAGCAACTCTTATTGTGCTTTTTAAATTTCCCAGAACTTTGTTTATTGTATTCTAGGTTGATAAAAAAAAATCTCAGAACCACTGAGATCCAATTTATTTTCCTTCATGTGCTGTGTGTGTGTGTGTGTGTGTGTGTATGCACATGGGAGTACCCTGCTCCGTCACCCTCTACCCTATGTATTCCTCTGAGGACAGCATCTCTCACTAAACCCGAAGCTCACCTGCTGGCCCAGGCTCACTGGCTGGCAGACCCTGGGGGCTGCAGAGACTTGTAGCCATGCCCAGCTTCTCTGTGGTTGCAGAGGTTACAAACTAATGTTATACTTCTGCTGGTGCAGCAAACACTCACTGAGCCGCCCCCCAGCCCTCTTCCTTCCCTTTTGTCAAAGTACCAGAATATTAGCAACTTCTTAGAGCAGCAGTGCCTCTAGCAAGGGAGCAATGGGTGGAGACAGCTTGACTCAGGGGCCACTTAACCGGGCTGCAAAGAAATTTACAATTGTCGAGCTTCTCACACACCAGGGAAGACTGTTGGGTCATGAGGCATGAGTCGATCAAGTCTAGGCCTCCACTGGAGCCCTGGAGAAGATCACCTGGGGTGTGTGTGTGTGTGTGTGTGTGTGTGTGTGTGTGTGTGTGTGGCGCGTGCATGCTACACAAATTTCCTAAAAAGCAGTTGCAGTTTCGAAACCTTTTGGTCTCAGCTTTTCAGTAAGCATGAAGCAGCTGCTGGCTCGGAGCCCCAGGGACTTGTGAATCCAGCCCTGTGTGTTTTGCACCCACACAGAGCAGCCTTTGTGAAGGACAAGGCAGCCCCACTCTGGCCATGAAGTGTCCCCCTCCCCTGCTGTTTACTTTGGACAGAGAGCTCATTTCAGTGGAGCCTGAAGCTGTGGGGAGCATCAAGCTGAAGGCCAGAAAATAAACCCAGTTTCGCAGGACAAACCTAGATCTGGGACAACCCTGAAAACAGAAGCGTGAACCAGCCACCCCCACCCCTGCTCTCTCCCCCTCCCTCCCTTCCTCCCTCTCTGTCTGCACTGGAGTCGAAGCTGTAGAGAAAATCATCACGGGGTCCTCACCAGGCCCACCAGCGCTTCATTTGGTGACAGGGACACATCCCCACTTGGTTTTCACCCATAACTGGCTTTTAATTAAATGGGACTTTTTCTCACATCTGTTCAGAAGGCTGGTCTCCTTTGGAAGTGGCCAGCACAAAAGCAGGGGCAGACTGGCAATAGGGAAAAGCAAACAGAGCAGAGCTACACAATCCCCCTATTCTGGCGAAGAAGCCAGTGCTGGCGGGCCTCTGCCAGAGGCTGCTCCTTCGAGGTCATTGCCCGTGGAGATTACTCTGCCGAGCCTCTGGAATCCCCACCGCTCACAGAGCCTAACTAGGTGGCCAAGGGTGACCCCTGTTCCCAGCAACAACTGGCTCAATAAGCTTTTGTTCTCTCTCCTCCCACCCCTGCCCCTTTGCCCCTCTTTCTCGCCCACAGAGATCTGTGCTGCTGACTGCGGTGGCCACGGCGTCTGCGTAGGAGGCACCTGCCGCTGTGAGGACGGCTGGATGGGGGCCGCATGCGACCAACGGGCCTGCCACCCTCGCTGCGCGGAACACGGGACCTGCAGGGATGGCAAGTGTGAATGCAGCCCCGGCTGGAACGGTGAACACTGCACCATCGGTATGGCAAAGGTCCCGGGGCATTCTGGTTGCTCTGAAAGACTCTTTGAGGCCAGCCTGTGCCTTCACTGCATGCGGATAGAGGCCACAAGTCCTTTCATCTGATGGCATTATGACTGGCTTCTCCTAGACATCAGCTGGGTTTAAAAGCACCATCTGTCATTCTCCACACACATCCTCCCCCAGTTTGCCTTCCCCATGTGGCATCTAGCTGATTAGCAGGTCTTGCTGTTGAGCCCTTCCCGAGCTAAATGCGACATTGCTCTTTGCCCAGAGATGAGTCAAGTGGCGGCTATGGGCAAGGACCATTGCCCCGCTGAATCTCAATTTCCTAACCAGTAGGATGGGGGAGAATCAGGGAAGCAAAGAGCTTGGCACAAGCTGGCACACGGCGAAATGCCCCAAACATGTAACCATCGTTAGCGGTTTCAGCATATGGCTGCGTGGCTCCTCGTAGTATCCAAGGCTCCTGAAAAGGCCTCTAATCCCAACAAAAACTCTTCTCCAGGGTCCCTAGGCCACATCTGCATTTCTCTTTCCCCTGCCCCAGGCTTCCATCCTGTCTGCATCTGTCTCCTCTCCCCTCTCTGGGGGCTGCTCCACACCAGGCCCTGCTGAAGCAGCACTGTCGGCTGCTTTCAAAACAAGCTGATCACTTCTTCCCTTCCTGTCTCTCAGCCTTTCCTGCTGGCTTTGTTGATTTTAAACACAGCCAGACGTTTCGCTTGGTTTATTATCCTGGAATGAACACTCACCAAAAGCTCTTTATTGGATCGACTGCTTTGTGTACGCATTTTCTTCCCTTTCCTCCCTCCCTCCCTCCCCCTCTCTCTCTCTCTCTCTCTCTCTCTCTCTCTCTCTCTCTCTCTTAGAAAGGGTTTGTGATCAGATGGTAAGCACATGGCTTTTATAAGGCAGGATTCCAGGTGCCTCTCAGTACAGAAAGTGACCCCTTGGGTCTCATAGAAATGGAAAGAAAAGCCCTAACTTTTGAGAGACAAAGGGATTTTAAGCAAATGGTGAAACCTTGTATCCAGTCATTCTGTTTTGCCATTACTCCGTATCCATGGTCCCCTGCAACATCCCCAAGTTAATAAACAGCTATGGAACACGTCCTATTTATTAACAATAATGGCTTCTAATTTTTGAGTATTTATGATGTGCCAAGCACTGTGCCTAAGGCTTTAACTGCATTATTTTACACTTCTAACAATGCAAAGAGTTATGGATTATTTTCTCTTTCTTGGGGACCTGAAAGTAAAGGGCATATAACCTTTGAAAACAAGAATTAGAAGCTTGATTTTTCCGTTCCCAGCTGTTCATCCTACAGTCCTTTGCAGCTGGTTCCCAGGTGTCCACCGGGCATCCAGCTCAGGCCCTGCCTAGAGGCGGGGCTCTGTTTGTCCAGTCAGGCTCAGAGTCCCCCGCCCCCTTGGCCTCACCCCATGCTCCATGTGGTGACACAGCTTTCTCTTCTGCACAGTAGACTGCACCATTCTGTCTCATTGTGTGCTGCTTGACGGCTTCTGTAAGGTTATCCTATCTCAGGTCTGTCTTGGAATCCTTAGTAAACCTGGTCGTCTCAGAGCCTCTGCTTTCCTCTCTCCTTTACTCCAAGGACAGCCTAAACTTTCAGCCTCTTAACCTGGGAGTTCATTCCCATCTAAAGAAAGAATTAGGTTTCAGAGAATGGCTCAGTTAGTAAGCTGCTTGCCTTGCCAGCGTTAGGGCCTGAGTTCAAACCCCGGAATCCATATCAAAGCCAGGCATGGTGGCTGATGCTCGTAATCCCGGCACCGGAGTGGTGCAGGCAGTAGGATCTCAGTGGCTAACGGGTGTAGCCCAACTGGTGAGCCCTAGGCCAACAAGAGACTCAAATAAGGTGGGTAGTGTTCCTTAAGATTCTTCTGTGGCCTCTATGCTGTGCGTGAGCATGAACACACACACACTTTAGTTTTTATTTTTTTTTAGATAGACACACACATACACACACACTTTTTGCTTTTGTTTTTTATTTATTTGGGGTTTTGAGATAGATACGTGTACACACACACACACACACACACAAACACACACACATTTGATTTTGATTTTTTGAGATAGACACACATATATACACACACTTTTGTTTTTGTTTTTGATTTGTTTGGCTTTTTGAGATAGATCCACATGCACACACACACACACACACACACACACACACACACACACACTTTTGCTTTTGTTTTATTGAGATAAGGTCTCACTATGTAGCCTTGACTGTCCTGAAACTCACTATGTGGACCAGGCTGACTCCCAAAATTCAGCAATCCACTTGCCTCTGCCTCCCGAGTACTGGGATTAAAAGTGTGCACCACCACGCCCTGCTCACACATTTTTAGAAAAAAAAAAAAACATCAGAACTCACAGAGAACACATTTTCCATCTCTTACTTATGGAGTTCTGTGTTTGCTTTCCCAAATTCCAAGAGGTAACTGCCCTTTATAAAACAAGACCTCCCACCCATGCTAAATGACAGCAAGGAGGGAAATCCTCCCTTGGTCTCGCTGCAGAGGATTGGTGTCAGGACCTGTGGGCAGGTGGACTATATCTGCCGTAGCTGTCCATCAGACCAGCTTTAAGAAGATCCCATTTATTTTGGTGCCAAGAAGCTGTACCATCCTTTCTACCTCCCCTGCTTGCCCCATTGTTTCCCTTTAAGAACGGCTTCTTCTTTGATTGCAGATGGTTTTTCCTTTTAGATAAGAAATACATCGAGGTAAATATGCATAGCAGAAGAGGAAGGTTGACAGTCATAAATATCAAAAAGAGAAAAATGCCACAGGACACAGAGGAGGTCACAGACAAGTCACAGTGGCTCAGATGAAAGGACTTGGTCTCAGGATGCTATTTTCTCATTGTGTGATGAGCGTTTTCTTTGTCCTTGTGTAATTTCCCTGCATGGCTCCCTTCTCTTTTTGGGTCTCTGCTGTGGCCAGCTGCATCCCTGTGAGAAACCCAGCACCCTCATGCTGAAGGAACACGTCAGTCACCTTGCAGGATAGAAGGGGTTAGGGGTTCAGCTTAGACAATGATGAGTACCCCGCTCCTCACTGAAGTGGTAGGAAGGAGAAATCCCCCCTTTTGTAATCTCTGTGAGCATCACCTATGGGAAAGAGGGTGCCGGCGTGAGGGACATGCCAAGCGTTCAGTTCTCTCTTACCAGTTCACTGTTGCCAGAATAGCTCACGATCCCGAAGCTAGAACCTACCCTGCAATCCAGTTCTCTCCCAACCAGAGCAGATGCTGGTGCCTTTGATGCCGATTCCATGCCGTGGAAGGGATCAGACTCAGGGTCTGTTTATTTCAACATTACTACCCTCTGCAAACAGGAAGGAGTAATGACATGCTTACCTTACAGCAGGAAGGAAGTACATAAAGACCGAGGAAACTCTGGGCAGAAGAAGCGCTGTCCCTCAGGAACACTTCCCAGAGCAGGTTGTTATAGTAGATATCACACACCTTCCTTTAGAGATTTGGTTCCCACCCACCCACCTTCCCCGGATCTTTCAAGGAAGCTGCTTGTTTTATCTCCAAAGAGGTTGGTTTTTCCAAATAAGAGAAAACACGTCAATGGCATCCTCTTTAATGACAGTATTGTTTTCACTCTTGTGAGACTGCGTCCCATGCCTTAGGCGAGGAATCACCCTCTCTCAGCACCTAGTAGATATGTCTCTGGTGAGATTGCCACAGGAAAACCACATGATTGCCCGGGACAGTTTCTCTCTCAGCGCATCACAGAATGAACAACGGGATGGTGTCGCTGGTGATGATGGAATTCCATCCCTCTCCTCCACCTCCCATCATCCCAGAAGTAGTTCACCTGAAACTGCCCCCCCCCCCCAAAAAAAAACGAGAGATTCGTCAATTTTGTTTTGCTCCCTCAATACAAATGCTTTCATTTGCGTATGTGGCGGTCATTTGCGTACATGGAACTGCGGTTTCCTAGTCTAGAAGCTGAGGTAAGATGGATTGACTTGGCTCTGTTCCTCAAGTGCATGGTTCATACACAGTCATCAGGAGTGCGTTCTCAGATGTCTGTTCCAGGAATGTTATGGGCCCCGCCAGTCCAAGACTTGACCTCCAGTTTCTTAAGAAAATTTGAAAATCATTGTTAAATTTAAGGTGTTTAATTCTTTCCCCCTGTCTTTGAAAACACATACATTTTGGATCAATTCTATGGTGATTATTTTATTCACCTCAGCGCCCCCTCATCTACGAAACCTCAGAACACGTGTGGGAAATGCCAGCTTCTGATCTCACTTATAAAATCCAACCCTGACCCCAAAGCTGTGATGGCAGGAGATGCCAGACATTCAGAATTATTTACTTGAACTTTGGGAGAGCCGTCCAATCACATAAACCCCGATTCTTAAACAAAAGCCTCTTCTGGGAGGAAAGACCAAAATAACACTCCGGTGACGCAATCACCTGAATGAGCAAAACCAGACTTCATGATGAAGGGCAATTTTCAAGAAAGCCGCAGAATCTTCTAGAGTACTTTGTCCACTTTCGAATGGGAACACTCCAGTTTCACCTCATAATCAGATTTGTCCTTCCACAAGAGCTCAGAAGTCGCTCCGGAGGTGTCAGCACCCGGGTGATGCCCCTATGCTGTTCATTCCCAAAAGCTCTCTCTCACAATGGGGCCTGAGAGCCCACAGGAAAGGGAGAGAGAGGGAAAGAGCGCACAACGACCCCCCGCCCCCGGGGCTGTCAGAGTCCGAGAGTCTGACTGCCGGCGTCTCCTGGAGATGTGCACCTGTGAGAAGGGTGGGAAACCGGAAGAAAATAAAGGAGACCTGTGGGGTCATTTCAAGGTAGGAACCACTGACCCGTCGTCTACCAATCCTGCATTCAAGAAGAAGAAGAACAAGGACCTGTTGGGTCTCAGTAAGGACATCATGTTGGTAATTGGTATCTGCCTGAAAGACATTCACGTGACGATAACCCCCATTCCAC